TAATGAGCTTGGGTCACAGATGAAATGCAGGACTAAAATAATTCCGTACGTGATGACTTGGGATGGGATTGTAACGAACTTCCGCAAACGCTAAACAGAAAAGATTAGTATACCACATATATATGAGATAAGACTGCAGCCTTTTTGCGCACTTTTTTTTTTTAATTTTAAATTCAGTCTTTCTTTTGAATTATTTTTTGAATTATTTTGTAGAAATGAGCGAAATTTTCCTGAGATTCAGGAGCGGGTGATGTCAGTTTCTGTCTGGCACGAAGTGCTGTATCGAGAATTTTGAGATTTGTGGTTGAATGATTTTTGAAAAGGCTTCTTGAAAAGAGCAACATAGAAGATATAATGAGTGGTGCATTTATTGTGAGAAGCAAAATGCAAAGAATAATTACAATAAAAGAGCAAAAACTTCCAAGTGACAATTGACAGGAAAAGCGATACAATTTTATTTGTGTAAAAGTCGTGCAACTTTACAATTATTTCATTTCAGTACAGTCCTGAATCTTCCTACAGTCATTAAATGCATGTGCAGGACATAGTTCAGTTACGTAACTTGCCTTGAACACCTTCGCACTCTGTAGCTCAGAACTTCTAATAATAGTACATCACGCTGTACAAACGCCTCAAAAAATCTTTCACATAAGTTTCATAGTACTGTTTCACGCCATTGAACCACGCAGTTGTGGAGTTACAGTTCACTGGTCGAATATCAACACGTGAAAGATTGCCGCCTGAAGCAGGTGATGTTGTTACATCACTATCCTCGGCTTCAGAAGCCGGAACAGAAGTTTCATTAGCGCGCATTTTTTTTTCAGAAGAGACTGCTTCCACAACAGACTTCTTATCAGCAGCTGAAATTAACTTGATTAATAGCAATAGAAGCTCCTGAAGTGAAATAAAAGGAAAGACAGTGAATCATAATTGGAGTATATCAGATTGTCATCAGCGAAGCCACTTGCTTCAGACACTTCATTTAGACTCGCAAATGCTTCACCTCCTTGTACTACTTGAGTTGCTTGCACAAAACTTGAAACAGATTTGTTATTGTCCGTCCGTGACCCACAACTCTGAAAAAGTGCATGCGTGATTACTGCACTAAAATAGAACAAGCAGAAGTATTTTTTCAAAAACTATAATTAAGTGGTCATCATATCTCGCAGACATGCAAGCGTATTTTGTATTCTCAACGAAAAAAATAATTTGCAATTGGGATTGATTTCAGATGGCATATTGGATTGGATTCAAATGAGTATTCCATTTAACCGCTTTGCCTGCCAGAAGAAAGCAGTAAATGTGCTCCCAGCCACATTGAACTTTCTACGCTGCGAGTGAAATAATGTAGTATTTCGAGTGAACTGAACTAAAATTAATAATGCATTCGGGCATTTCAGGCAGAGATCAAACATACCATCCGAGCAGTTTCAGAAATAAATTCTTAAAAATTGCTACGGCTACATTAACTGTCACGAAACACGTGAACTGCTTAATAAATTAATCAAAATTGCGTCATTCTTATTTTGCTTAGCACGTCAGAAATAACTCAAAAATGCGAGTTGAGTAACAAATGTGTGCTAATTAGTGTGAAATGCAATAACTATACGAAGGAAAGTCTACTGTAGTCAAAGTTTTGCTTGCTTTAAGCAACGAAACTTACCTGCAATTACAAGCAGTAAATTAATGAATAAAAGGAAATTGAAACTGAATTTAATACACTTTTAAAAAGCGCTGAAGCGATAACGAAAGTAATGGTGAATCTTCTCCAGATGGTCATTTTTGATTCCTCGAGCAGTTCTGAGCTGAATAACTGAGTTCCTATCAAATAACGTATCTGCTGACACTTTTTTCAAATACTTTTAGTGACAAGAAGTAATCACGCCAGCAAAAACGTCAATTATTTAATAGCAGCACTGCAATGTGCGTCAACGTCAAAATGGTTCATTTTGGTGCATTTAACTCATATTAATTCCTTTTCTATCAACTAATATATACGTAAAGTAATCAAAAATGCCCCTTTTTGGTACATTTTTTATCTGAGTTTTGCATTCAGCCGACAACTGCTGATGATAGATTTAAATTCAAATAGTTTCCTCTTTCAAGTAATTAATGTATTTGCTTGGTAATTAGCTCGTTTCTTAACTTTGGCATGTGTTAGTGTTTTCAGAGGCACGTCATTGGTCAACTTAGCAGTAATAATCAATAGCATAATAATTAATAATGACAATAATAGTAATAATATCGTTTACAATGAATAGAATAATAGTAATGATGGCGACGATACAAGGGGACAGCGAAAGATTCGCTAAAACGACGCAAAAGTACTATGCTTGACACGATTGAAGAGGAGAATCTTTTGAAGCGAGACGGTACAATTTTAAGATGGAAATATTGCTTTCGTGTGGAAAGTGACTACAAAAAGTCGTGAAATCAAAGTTGCAAGAAAATACACGCTCAAATTGCTGCCGCGTGCGTTGGCATTTGAAACGAGCATTTTGGAGAGAAATTTCTGACGCGTTCGTGTCAGAAAGATTCATTCTCATGCCGTTAAATTATTTGCACTGAGTGAAATGAACACTTACTTGCCTTAGAAACAATGCTTCCGACAAGAGACGTGCATTGAGGAATTGCTTTCATTTCAAGAGACTATTATTCTCTCGATGGCAGGAGTGATGATCGCTTGCCATAAGCTTGCCTATTTTGTGCTTATTCAGAAACACACACACAGCAGACACACATGCACACACGTACATGTACATTCATATATGCATAAGCATCACAATTAATTTATCGCATTCATTTATTTATATGTATAATTAATTGCTTAAGCATTCGCAAATGTCGAACAAACTCGCGTTTGTGTTTGCTCTGAGAATTATTTGAGAATTCAAAGCATTTGCTCAAGTCATCTTGTTCAGTTCCATCCAGTACACTGCGTGCCCCGTCTTCACAAATAGTCGTCGGAAGACGTACAGCACTTGCCTCATCACAAAGAAAGGAGCGCTGTACAAACTTGCTCATCATTACTCACAACTGCTTGCGTCTTTTGTTACTTTCGATAATGCAGCGACACCTTTACTTGAGAATGCAGCCATAATTGAATAACACGTCTATTCACCCTTACAACACTCAGAGTTGCCAACTACAGACACCCCACTTCTTATTCAAATATAGAAATCAATCACCCTTCAAGACGTCCCCTCCTCTTCCGTACACATTTATTCCAACCAGACCTAATTTTATATCTTCATTCGTTATTACGTTTGAATGTTTAGTCGATGAATCAATCCCACATAGGTTGCAAAAATTTTCTTTAATGCCGTAGAGTAATCATGAACATTTTTTATTCTACACAGCATATACATAAATTGTTCAATACATATTTACAGTAGTAGTTAATTTTATACATAATATTTTTAAATATTGTTATACATATATACATATATGATACATATACCTTATCATACACACTACAAAGCAAAATAATATGGACGATATTGTCCATTTACTTATCACTCATCCACCAAATTCTTAAAAATAATAAAAAAGATGGCTTTGGTGGCTCCGAGTTATAAAATCCATGTTACAAGACTTGTCTGAACTGCATTGATGGCACAACATTCGTGGCTGACCGTTTAAATTAGGTATTCCACAATCTACAACTAAAGCAATCAATGTAGTACTGTAGTATTTACATGCCAAAAAAGAAATTAACTTTTGCAATAGTACAACTAAATTCTCTTATCACTATGAATCAAATTAATGAACGTCATCTTTTCTGTAGAATTTTACATACCTGATGAAATGAGTGCCAGTATTTCTCTAGTCTGACTCCCTCTAATACGTCAGACCATCAATTAAATTTCAAAACGACGATCTAAATGATGTTGAAAAATACATATTGTTCATCAATATAATCTACAAATTCTATGTATTCTGATAAAATCTATAGAAATGACACATAACTGAAAGCTGGTAGCTCTGATACTTGGCTACTATTAACATTTAAAATAACAAAAGTGAAGCAGTTTTACAAAATTCAGCAGTGGTGAAAAGAAAGAGAAAGCATAAAGAATGCAAAATAATTACAAGGATCTACAAACTGTTCTTTTTTTCTACTTACAGTAATAAGTGTGGTATAGGAAGAAAAGAACTTACAAAATTTTATAATATTTTGATCAGCTGTGTGAAGGCCATAACCTGCTCTAATAAAATCCATGACTTTTAAGCAACTTAACTGAAAATTAGAAATTACTGAGAAATATTACATCACAAATATCTTTCTTTGAAAACATGTTTTCACGCTGCAAAAAACAACTGAACTGAACTAACTTTTTTCGTTTTTTCGACACTGATACGCACTGAAGCTTTTTCTTCCAACTCTATGCGTATCAATGTTGCTATGGCCGAGACTCACCGCTGATCATGAATTGGCTTCACTCTGCTTCAAATCAAGCTCAGTTAAGCGTTGCAATCACATATGTTAGTATCAGAAGATGCAACAAAAAATTTTAAATAAATGGTATGCAATATTCTAAGATCATTACAAAAATTGATGAGAAAATTTTATTACTTACCAGTGAAGAAAAACAAGATGTTGAGCCTCTAATCTCTGCACGTTATTACTGTTTACCTGAAAGCAAAAGGTCATTGTCTTGTCTGAAGAGAACGAATTCAAAAGTATAAAAGTTCGTTGCAAAGTTTGATAAGTGTTCAAATCATGCAAAAAAGTAAATAAATGATTCCGAGATCACGGAGAACTGCAAATTATGTTTGATTCATACAAAAAGGTCATGGGGTGCACAAAGGGCTAAGAAGAACCAACTAGACAAGCGACCTCGCAAGATATGCCTGAGTGCAGCGCACACTCACACCCCACCGCTCACAGCCACTGCCAAGTCACTGAATGAGAAAAAGAGTCTAAATCTCGCTTTCTGGCGAGTGTCCAAAGAAGTTAGAGTAATATGCGTGCATGCGTGCATGCGTGCACGCATACAGTGCTCTTCTCATTTTAAGCGTTACTTATCGAATCTTCTCATCATGACTCACTGTAAAATAAAATCACAGAATTTATATTGGCTAAATCTAACCACAAT